GATTGGTGATCACTAATGCACTGAGTTAAGCAAAGCTTCAGTCTTTGAGCAATGATTTTAGATAGGACTTTGTAGACCACACTGCACAAACTGATCGGTCTAAATTGACTGAGAGTGTCAGGATTGGGACATTTGGGTATGAGGGACAGAACAGTATGATTCCAGTATTTTAAAAGCATGCCAGTTTGAAAAAAACTCAGAATAGCTGCCATAAGATCATCCTTGATGAGAGACCAGAAGTGCTGATAAAAGGATGCACCTTCTTCACCTGGAGCTTTGTCAGGATTGAGGCTGAAGAGAGCTGTCTTGACTTCTGCTTCTTCCATTGGTTTAAGGAGATCTGCATTGATATCAGAAGTGATAGTTGTGGGAATCAGTGGGAGCAGAGTATCCCCACCCCAACTTCCTTCTGAGGAGAATAAGTTGTTGTAGAAGTCAGCAATGTGATCTTCAATGTCCTTCTGAGTGGTGAATGATTGGCCTCTGGAAGATAGCAGCCTTGTGATAGCATTATATCTTCTTCTTTGAAGAGTCAGAGCATGAAAAAAGCGTGTGTTGGAGTCTCCTTCCTTCAACCATTTCAATCTGGACTTTTGTTGCCAGAACAGTTCTTCATGCTTGTGAGCCTTTTCCAAATCTCTTCTAGTGGCTTCCCAACATTCCCATTAACTGCCAGATTTATCTTGATTAAGTATTTGAAGCTTGTTGGTGAGGCTTGAGATAAGAGCTTGGTTCTGAGTTTGAAATTTGGAGCTCCAAATAAGAAGAGCTGTTCTAACTTTCTTGATCTTCTCTTTGAGTTGATAGAAAGGAGTTCCTGAGCATTCAATACTCCAAGCTGTCTGCACTGTTTCTTCAAACCCTTCTTTGCCAATCCACCTTTTATCGAAGTGGAATCTCGTTTTCTTCCTTTCTCTTGGAATGCCATAATCCAGAATGAGAGGAGTATGATCTGATGCACTTCTGATAAGATTGAATACTGAAGTATTAGGGTAAGTTTGCATCCATTCTGGAGATCCAAAAGCTCTGTCCAGATACTCTTCCACTAGGCCCTGATTTGCTCTATTATTGCACCATGTGAAGGGGTATCCTTCTAGCTTAATTTCCTCCATTTCCATCTCATTAATGAATAAATTGAAACTTTGACAACTGACAGAATTTCTGGGACTTCCTCCAGCCTTTTCAGCATTTGATCTTATTTCGTTCCAGTCTCCAATGGCAAACCAGAGATCCTCCCATGATGATTTATCTATCACAAATTCCTGCCACTGGTCAACTCTCAAAGATTTACAAGCATTAAAATACACAAAAACCCCCCCATTGAACAGCCTGGGAGTTAAATTGAAATTGAGCAGCAATATAAAAAGATTTACAATACAGTTCAGAATTTGAATCTGTGGATCCCAACAAAGGAGAAGACCCCCACTAAGACCTATTGGGTCCACAATAGCTAATCTATCTACATAACCCAATATTCTACCTACAGACTTAACAAATGCATTTTTCTTTTTAGTTTCAGAAAGAAAAAAGAAAAGGGGGTGGTCTGTTTTCAGTAACTCTCGGATTTGGGAAATTGTAGAGGGCCCACCCAACCCTCTACAATTCCACACCACAACTAACATTGATCACTCGGGTGCCATTCAAGGCTGGTAACCCCCACCTCTTCAGAAGTAGCTTTGATTTTTTTAGAAGAAACCTGGTTGGAGACAGTGTTGTTTTTTGCTGGTTCAGTTGTCTCTTGTTTTTGCCTGTTCCTTTTTCCTCTGACCAGTTGATCAATAATTATGGGGTCCTCAGAAGCTCTTTGCAATCTTCCCATTTTGGTCCCAGCTCTTTTCCATGTTTTCAGAGCATGTGGCTTAGTGACTACAAAGGTTTCATTGGTAGAGTGAATAATTGGAAGAGTTGATGTGTCCCCCTTCTCAATATCCATAGTGGCAGGCTCTATTATCTGTAGGGGAAAATCTGTAGTGTCTTCAGGGTTTGTAGTATTTTGATTGGCAGAGTATTGTGAAGTGTTGCCCAAGGATTTGGCTGGTGAGTGAGTTTCTTCCTGGCTTGCCACTAATTGATTATTAAAGTTCTGCTGACTTGAAGAAGTTCTTTGAGATTCTACATGAGCATTTCTTGTTGGTGACTCTGGTGGTGGACATGTTCTTGAGTCTGAAAGGCTAACTGGTGACCATTTGTAACCATCAGCAGCTCTCATCCAATCTCCATACTGACCCTCTTTGAGAGCATTATTGCTTAGGTCCTCCATCTTTTTATTGCAGCCCCTATCCAGGTGTCCAATCTTACCACATTAGTGGCATAGATTCATCAGTTTTTCATACTTGAACCTCACATTCACAAGCTGCTCCCCCAACCTGACTTTAGCCACTCGAGGTAGGGGTTCATCCACATCTAAAGTCACAAGAAGCCTGAGTAGCTTGCCTCCATGGTTGCCTATGGTAGCTATAACTACATTCTTAAGATTCTTGAAGGCCTTTCCTATTTTGAGTCCCACATCAGTGCTAATCCAGTTTAGAGGAATGTCCTGAACTTGAACCTACAGATTAAGATCTTTAAAGCTGGGGTGTCTGCTGTTGAGATTAGTCATCCATTCTTTGAGAATAATATATTGATTCTCGAAGCTCCAATTGGTTCCATTAGCAACTTTTTTCATGTCCTCCTTGCTTTGAAATATAAACTGAAAATAGTTGGGCTAAGCTCATTTACCTCCATTGGCTGACTAAGCTTCCAAATCTGGGACATAGCACGTTTTATTCCAATCCAACTAGCCGGCCGGTCTCCTATAATTTTGCCGAACAAGCTCCTTTGACATTCATCATCACTGACTTTTATGTCGTCTTGAGCAATGTCGAATATAATGGCTTCCTTTTCAGAAAGGGAGAAATCCTTTAGACGATCAGAGAGATCTTCCTCAAGGGGTGGTGAATGGGACCGATTCATATTAACCCTAAAACCCCAAATTGGGGAGATAAATACCGAGAGAGATAGGAAATAACCAGGCGAGCTGACAATGAAAAAGGATAAGGTATGCTGATGAACGGTAACTAAGAACAATTTATCTTCATCATCTATTTTTGTTCAATATTGCATTTTTCTAATAACTGTGTTAATCTATCTATATCATCCATTAGAACTTGTTGGTGGTTCTATCTGAATTGGTTTAAATACTTTTTTCCATATTTTTTCTTTTTGAACTAAATTTTGTAGTTTTTTAATTATTTCTTTTATTTCATCTAATTTTCCAAATGTTTCTAATTGGTTCTTTTTTATTATTTCTATAAGTGCTTCTATTTGTTCCGAGACTTTTGGTGGATTACTCATAATTTTAAAATATTTTTTCTAATAATTATTTTCTTTAATAATTATTATTTGCCTTTAATAATTTTCCTAAATAGATTTTTCTTTTGGTTTGCCTATAGTAAACTTTGGTGTGTTTATAGCACCTTGATAGTCAAAAATTTGCTACATGTCTTATCCTTATTGGCTCTTGCTAAAAATGGGTAGTACCCATGCGGGTGGCAGTAGCACTACCGTGTGCCCTGGCACACCTAGGTAGGTGTGCCATGGCAAATTTGCACGCGCCCCCTCACCCCAAAAAACTAGAAAACTTAGAGAGTGTAGTGCACATTCCCATTTTTCCATTTTTAATTGAAAAATGAGACATATTACATAAATTAAAATATCATTAATTATTTATATTAAAAAGATAAAATAAAAGTACCAAAATTCATAATTTTTCATTATCTATAAATAGAGACCACTTTTGATAGGTTTTTTAACACAACTAATTTTTCGTTTTTTCGTGATTATTTTATTATATTGACATATAATGAACATGTTAAATAACAAGATGAATATATTTTCAAATAAGATGAACATGTTACAGATTGCAGATTGAAATAATACATATTCATCTTATTTTATAACATGTTCATCTCATTTTGGTAACATATTCATCTTATTTTATAACATGTTTACCTTATTGAGTATGTAACATGTTCATCTTATTCTATAACATGTTCATTTTATTATGTAACATGTTCATCTTATTCTATAACATGTTCATTTTATTATGTAACATGTTCACCTTATTGTGTATGTAACATGTTCATCTTATTCTATAACATGTTCATTTTGTTATGTAACATGTTCATCTTATTCTATAACATGTTCATTTTGTTATGTAACGTGTTCATCTTATACTATAACATGTTCATTTTATTATGTATCATGTTCATCTTATTTTAGAACATGTTCATCTAAATTTCATCTGTGAAAATGTAACATTTTCATCTTATTCTATGACATGTTCATCTTACTCTATAACATGTTCATCTTGCTATGTAACACATGCATCTAATTATAGATTTGCGTCATAATCTTCCAATAAGATAAATTAATTGTAAAAAATGATAAATTAATTGTGTTCAAAAAAATATCAAATGTGGTCTCTATTTGTAGAGAATGAAAAATTATGAATTTTGGTATTTTTATTTTTATTTTTTGATACAAAATATGAATGATAATTTAATTTATATAATATGATATTGAAATTTATTACCCAATAGAAATGGGACACATGTCCCATTTAAAAAAAAAAAATAATCTACCTCCTTACCTCACGCGCTTTTGAAGAGATTGTATTTCACAAAAGGCCCTGGCACACCTAGCAAGGTGTGCCAGAACACACCTAAGTATTTGCGATGCGGGTGGCATGAACTAAATTATTAATTAATATTCTTAAAGGTTAAATGGACACAATTAAAGTATTTTAATCATAAATATATATTTTTTTAATTTACAGGGCCCGTGCCCTTGCGGCCCTTATATATGTTTGCCCCAGGAAATTCTACACCCATTTCCTTTGGCAAAAACAAATATAAAATAAATTAAAAAAATCTAGAGTTCAATAAATTTGAATAATTTAAAGCTACATATACAATTGTGAGTGTCTTTGGGTGCCTTTTTTAATTTAACCAAATGAAAATACCAAAATGTATAATGTAAACTGAAGAGTCGCAATAATAAGAAATGTAATGTAATCAAAAAATGGGGCAACTTAGTCATCGCTTTGTGGTCTTCGACCTGAAAGTCATCTCTTAAATCAAATTGAAATCAAAAATCAATCTTCCCCGTCGTGACCCCCATTCACTTTTTTCTGCTCCCCTCTAAAATTTTCTCTCTCCCTTTCATTTCGATCTTGCAGCTGATATTCTATCTGGGCTTCAATCAGAATACCATTTTGAAAGAAAAAATGACCGCCGTGTTAATGGTAAAAAACAAAAAAAAATCATTTTTGTATCTTCCGTTGACGTTTCTTGTTTTTTCTTGTATGTGTGTGTGATTCGTTTCGTCAATGTGGGTCTTGGTTTTTATGTGGTGAATTGAGTAGAGATTTGTAGCAATGCCCTTATGTGCGCGCTTCAAATGTTGTCGGTTTTGAAGTTCTGGAGCTGCACTTGAGGAAAATCGAGCTGACATTTTGCATGATGCGTATGTTGCACTTATATATATCATTTGTGGCGATTGATTTGCTCTTTTAAGGATTTTGATTGAGATGCTTTAGTATCGGAAATAGTGATGCTTGTTTTTGAAATGATTTCTTGGGTGTCAATTATGTGTTTTTATGCTAAATCATTTTCATGGTCAGCTTGAATTGCTGGAGATGATTCTTGTCTCTTTCTTTTAATTTCTTGATTGTCTTAATGCTTGTTTTCTCTCTGTGACCTATATCACAGTCAACTGGGTTAAAGATCTTGAAATCTTGATATCAGTCAGTATTTAGATGTCCACAATGAAGAAGAAGCTGGATGCTCTTTTTATCACTAGAATGAGTTAGACTAAATTCATAGATTCGACATGCATATGAATGATGTGATAGAAAAATCTTTTTCTCTTATGTTTTGTTGATAGGTGGTAGACTGCTGAATTAACTGCATCCAGAAATTACAGGGAAGACATTATGTGGGAAAGTAAATTTAGGCATAGTCAATAGTGGTTATGCGAGCAAAACCCTTTGCTTGCATGGTCGAGGCAAGGGTTGGAGCCTCGGAATTGTATAGTCAAAATTCAGTAAAATTTGGACTTTAAAACTGTGTAAGAAATGGCCCGAGGCAGAATAAGGGCAAGAATAAGGAGAAGCCATCTCTACACGTTTGCTTGCTACCGCCCTTCTCCTACAGAAGAGGACAGGCGTCATGACTTTAATGGGCCTGGCTACTCACGAATGGTTTACTGCAATCAGCCTCACATGCATACGCAAAAGCCGCTTAAATACTGCACGAACTACATTTCCACCACAAAGTACAACGTAGTTTCTTTTCTACCAAAAGCCATTTTCGAACAATTCAGACGTGTAGCCAACTTGTACTTTCTTCTGGCAGCTGTTTTATCTCTAACTCCCATATCGCCATTCTCTGCTGTGAGTATGATTGCGCCTCTGGCTTTCGTGGTCGGTTTGAGTATGGCTAAAGAAGCTCTTGAAGACTGGCGTAGATTTATACAGGACATGAAAGTCAATTTGCGAAAATGTAATGTACATAAAAGAGAAGGTATTTTCGGACTTAAACCCTGGATGAAGCTGAGGGTTGGGGATATAGTGAAAGTCGAGAAGGATAAGTTCTTCCCTGCCGATTTACTCCTTCTCTCCTCGAGTTACGAGGACGGTATTTGTTATGTCGAGACGATGAATTTGGATGGGGAGACTAATTTGAAGGTCAAACGTTCTTTAGAGATAACTCTACCATTAGATGATGATCAAGCTTTCAAGGATTTTACAGCCTCCATCAGATGTGAGGATCCGAATCCAAACCTCTACACTTTTGTCGGCAATTTCGAATATGATCGACAGGTTTATCCACTCGATCCAAGTCAAATCCTTCTCCGCGACTCGAAGCTTAGAAACACTGCTTATGTTTATGGGGTGGTGATATTCACCGGCCATGACAGCAAAGTCATGCAGAACTCCACGAAATCTCCTTCGAAAAGGAGCAGGATCGAAAAGCAAATGGACAAGATAATATACATCCTTTTCAGTCTATTGGTGTTCATCTCGTTCATAAGCTCGGTGGGTTTTATTGCCAAGACGAAAATCGATTTGCCAAATTGGTGGTATTTACAAGTTCCAGATGAAGAGAGTTTGTATGATCCAACTAAACCCCTCACATCCGGATTTTATCACTTAATCACAGCTCTCATACTTTATGGATACTTAATACCTATATCCCTTTACGTATCGATCGAGGTCGTAAAAGTCTTGCAAGCCTTGTTTATAAACAAGGATATCCATATGTACGATGAGGAGACTGGAACTCCTGCTCAGGCTCGAACCTCAAACTTAAATGAGGAGTTAGGACAAGTGGACACAATCCTTTCAGATAAAACGGGCACTTTGACTTGCAATCAGATGGATTTTCTCAAGTGCTCCATTGCAGGGACTGGCTATGGCATGCGTGCTAGCGATGTGGAACTTGCAGCTGCTAAACAGATGGCTATGGACATTGATGGCCAGAGCCAGGTCAGCACGCCTCATGCGTGGAGAAAAAGTGGGTTTGGAGAAAATGAAATCGAGCTTGAGGCCGTTATTTCCTCGGAAGGGCGTAAATCTGTAAAGGGGTTCAGTTTTGAGGATAGCAGGCTAATGAACGGGAATTGGTTTAGAGAACCGAATCCGGAAATGATTTTGTTGTTTTTTAGGATATTGGCCGTTTGTCACACAGCAATTCCGGAGGAAAATGAGGAGACTGGTGTTTTAACGTACGAAGCTGAGTCTCCGGATGAAGGCGCGTTTCTTGTTGCCGCTCGAGAGTTTGGTTTCGAGTTCTGTAGAAGAACTCAGTCGAGTATATTTGTACGTGAGAGGTATCCATCGTATCAGGAGCCTGTCGAGAGGTAAGAGACTGGAAAAAAAAAGAAGTCATTATTGTATCTTTTGAGATGTTTATGTCTTGGTGCTTGTGTGTGATGACGTTTTTTTTTGGTTAAAAAAAATCAGGGAGTTCAAAGTTCTTAATTTGTTGGATTTCACTAGCAAAAGGAAGAGGATGTCGGTTATTGTTCGGGACGAGACTGGTCAGATCCTTCTTTTTTGCAAGGGAGCTGACAGGTATATGCCTCTTGTTCTCTACTGTATTTTTTACTTGTATTAAATTATGTCAAACACATCATGGAATGATTTTCTGTTAAGCTGGGGTGAATTTGTAAATTCGGAAGACATTAACATATATGCATATATATTTGTTATTACAAGAGTATTTTCCAATTCAATTTAAGTCTCTGATAGTAGTTCCACTAAGAAAAGTTACTCAAAATGCCTGGTTATTTGCATTCGGGATAATATTTTGCTCTTATATATTACAGGAAAGGTCTTTTCCTTCCAAGATTCTGCCTTTTTTCCATTGTTCACTTTGAACTTATCGAATTCTCTTCGAGATATAAATTTTTTTGCTCTAGAATCTTAGTCCAATATTTTCTTTTGTACAGTATCATATTTGATAGGCTAGCCAGGAATGGGAGAATATATGAGGAGGCAACCACAAAGCACTTGAATGAATACGGTGAGGCAGGTTTGAGGACTTTAGCACTTGCTTATAAGAAGCTAGATGAGGAGAAGTATGCTGCTTGGAATGAAGAATTCACTCGAGCAAGGACCTCGATCAATGGGGATCGAGAAGCAATGCTCGAACGAATTTCAGATGCGATGGAAAGGGACTTGATACTCGTTGGCGCCACTGCAGTGGAGGACAAATTACAAAATGGGGTACGTTTTATATATCTTGATTCTTGAGGATCGTTTTGAAAATGTCCCCAAAATGTTTATCTTTCTCACAAAAATTTGACGTCATCTTACATTTTGTGAAGAAAGAGAAACAAAAGCAATAGGGTATATTTGTACTGGAAATATAGCTGTTTTTAATCATTTCTTTTTACTTATTATCTTTAAAATGTTTCAACTGTGTTTTAAGTTTCTCGGTCTCATTTTCTCTTAATCGTGTCTTTTTAGGTGCCGCAGTGCATAGACAAGCTGGCACAAGCTGGTCTAAAGATCTGGGTTTTGACAGGTGATAAGATGGAAACTGCAATAAACATTGGGTATGTTTCTCTCTAGAGTGTGCGGCTTTT